CCCAGCCCCAGCGCCTGGGCGCGGGGCGCGCGGACGCCCGCCCCGGCGCGCGAGCCCCGCCCGCCGAGGCGACGGCGATCGAGGAGTGGGCATCCCGCCCTGGAGGGGGTCAAGCCGCCGTGGTTCGGCAGATGCCAGCTATGGCCATTGCCCGCCAGGCATTGGCGACGCGAGGGCGGAGGTCGGGCCGAGCCACTTTCGCGTCGAGGCCACCGCCTCCGCGCTGGGGGGCTGGGCGCTGGCGCCGGCCCCGTTGCTGAGCGGCCGCGCCGTCGGCTTCGCTGCGCCGCCGTTGAGGGGCGCCGGCCGCCCGTTTGGCTTGGCTCGGCTGGGGCCTCGCGGCCTGGTGTCAGCCTCCGTGGGGGCTGTCGCGTTCCCCGGCCTGGGTGCCTGCGCGCGGGAGACCCCCTCTACTACGCGGCCGCCAGCCACTTCGACGGTGCGCATCGCCTGGCCGACCGCCGGAGCGGCGCCGTCGGGGGCGCCCCTAGTCGGGGGCAGCCGCGCGCTGGCTCGCTGGCCGATGGGCCCCGCGCGGGCTCGACGACACCGAGGCTCTGCTGGCGGACATCGCCTTCGCAATGTCCACGCGTAATAAGAGGGGCGACGGGGGCCATGTCAAGCGGGGCCCGCTGAACGGCATCGCGTGCGACGGCGAGTTCAAGGTCCCTGCGGCCGGGGGTGCAAACGGGCCCAGCGCGCAGGCTTGCGCGGGCGACGTAGGCTAGGCGCTCGCCAAGTCTCCGCTTAAGATGGCCGAGTGCTCCAGCGCCTTGCTACTGCGCCGCCAGTGGCCGACCCCCCTGGACAACCGCCCAAGGCCCACGGCATCGGTGCGGGATGCTGGGGGGGCCGCGCGCGGCAGGGGGTGCCGCCGCGCTGCCTCGCCGCCGCTGACTGGCCGTCCGTCTCGGAGGAACGCTTCGAGAACTTTGCGCCGCTGGTGGAGTGCAAGCTGGAGACCTCCCCGCGCGCGCCGGCCCGCTACCTTGACTGCTTGCGTAAGGCACGCAACGCCGCTTGGGTGTTCGCGTGTGCCTACGGCGAGGATCACTGGGGCCCCATGGCGAAGGCGTTTGAAGACCTGTGCAGCTTTTGGTACAAGAGCCCGCGGAAGTACACGTTCTGCCAGGTCGCCTGGGAGAAGCTCCACTGGAGATGGTGGGAGGAGGTTGCCTGGAGCGCGCTCGAGGTCCATCGTGTGCTCAACAAGGAGCATGCGCTGCGCAAGGAGGATGTCACCTTCGCGGCTCTGACGCCTCGAGCCGACGGGAAGGCCTTCCTGCAACTCCCCGGCACTTTCGGCCGTCAGGAGTTGCAGGGCTACTTCAAGACGCTCATCGAGCACCGCCTGGTGAAGAAGGGAGGTCTCAGGGAATGTCGCGACGACGACGACGGAGGGTTGCTCTTAACCTCATGGGATGGAAGGGTGAGGGATCCTCCTGGTCCTCCTCTTCCTCCTCCTCCTCTTCTTCCTCCTCATCCTCATCCTTTTCCTCTTCCTCTTCCTCCTCCCTCCTCCTTCTCTTTTCTCCTCCTCTTCGCGTTCGGGTTCTGAGGCCGGTGTTGCTCTTGCGGGGTCGAGATTCCTGAGGCCGTGAATCTGTACTGGGGTTTTGCTGTGCACGGATCCAGGATCCGATCGAAGCGGTCATTTGGTGCCGTTCGGAGCGCGGTCGGGCGCGGTCAATTTTCTGCACTCGCTGGGGCTTTGGGCTCCCCCTCTCTGTTGCTCAAGTCTTAGCGTCCTGCTCGATGCGGAGTAGCTTGCCCCGCTTTCTCATACAGTTTTTCACCCTGCACATGACGGTCAGGCGCGCTTGCGCAGCGTGTCGCGCCGCCAGTCCCGGCCCTTCGCGCTCCAGCGACACGCGTTGCGCGCGTCCCCGTCTGATGGGCCGGGCCTGTTTTCACCACCAACATAAGTTGGAGGGGGGAAGGAGGAGGAGGAGGAGGAGGAGGAGGAGGAGGAGGAGGAGGAGGAGGAGGAGGAGGAGAGGAGAGGAGGAGGAGGAGGATGGCGGAGGAGGCGGAGAGCGGAGGAGAGAGGAGGAGGAGGAGTGAGGAGAGGAGAGAGGAGGAGGAGGAAGGAGGAGGAGGAGGAGGAGAGGAGGGAGGAGGAGGTAGGAGGAGGAGGAGGAGTGGGAGGAGAGGATGAGGAGGAGGAGGAGGAGGAGGAGGAGGGAGAGGAGGAGGCGGAGTAGGGAGAGGAGGAGGAGGAGGAGGAGAGGAGGAGGACCCCCCCCATCCAACTTATGGTGGTGGTGGAGAACAGGCCCGTCCCCGTCTCCGAGCGCCAGTTGCCATTGCATTTTCCGTCCTATACCGCCCCGCGCAGCTGAGCGACACGCGCTCTCTCAGCTCGCAGGGCATGGCATGGCACCGGGGCCGCCGCCGCGACGCGCAACAAGAACTGACATAAACATAATAACTCGGAGGTCCGCGCGGATTTCTCGGATCGGCGCTGGACCCCTCTCCCTGGCGCGCTCCGCGCGCCAGGGAGTGGCACACCGGCGGTGCCGGAGGCGCCGCCGGTGGGCCCCAGCGCCGATCCGAGAAATCCGCGCGGCCCCCCGTTTTTTTATGTTTATGTCTTTTTTTGTGCCCCTATACTCCCTTCTCTCAGTTAGCCGTCCTCGCCCCACCACGCCAAGCCCGAGCCGACAAACCTCTGGAGAGCCTGGGTCGACAGCCGCACCCACCACGACCGAGGGGATTGACCGTCAACGGCAGCCCCTGGAATGGCATCCCAGGCTTCATAGAAGAGTCATGGCCGTAAGCATACACTTGCCCTGGCGACAGAAGGCCCCAGACATCATACCCAAAGGTTAAGAGAGCATTGTTCTGTACTGCGCATGCGCGAGACCCAACGAGAGAACAGATTGGAGACCCTACAGCTCTGTTGGGAGCCCTTCTGCGGCCCTCTTAGAATCATATATTCGGCCGTCACATGGCCATCTTGGGCCACCTTGGGGCCATCTTGGGCCGTCTTCGAGGCATCTTGGGCTGCCTTGGCGGCCTCGGTTGCCTGCCTGGACCGTCTTGGCAGCTCGGGGCGCGGGCCCACAGCTGTCTACGAGGAATCGTGGTGTCAGGAGCGCGGATCCATTGCCCTTCACGGGGGATCGTGGGTTCGGGAGGGGGGGCGATGCATGGGCAAATTAGCTGGGAGAGAGAGAGAGAGAGAGAGAGAGAGAGAGAGAGAGAGAGAGAGAGAGAAAAAAAAAAGGCCCCGTGGACAAAATACGGAAGCCCTGCCAGGCAGCCCTTGGCATTCTACCACGCCTCAGCGTGTCAGGGGGCGTGGTGGTATTCCAATCCGTAGCCATTTCGTGCATGTCGGTGTTTTTCGATGCCTCCACCGCGCGATTCGACGAGCCCCAGCAGACTCTGATCTTCTTGGACTGGGATGACACCCTCTTCCCGTACTCCGAGCTCCAAACACGCTGGCGCCTGAATGTCGACGGCGCGCCCACGGGGGGGCTGATGGGGGGCGGGGCGTCTCTCAGAGCGTGAATTACCTACCCCGCTTTCGCTTCCAGGCAAAACCAAGTCATACCGCGCGCCTCCTCGTCAAGCGGCCTGACCAGTACAGGCCGTAGTTTGGCATCGCTTGGTATCTCTTGGAAGCGAGGGTGGTCAAAAGCGAGGTAGGTTTCTTTGCCCCCTAGTCTCAGAAGGCTCAGAAGACCCCGGCCTTCTGAGAGGCGTTGTGCGAGCCTTCACCAAAGGCAGGAGCCGCTTCTCAGAAGGCGGGGGCTTCTGAGAAGCCCCACCGCCCTCTGAGACGGCTGGCCCCCTGTCTCTCGACTAGACGTAAGATCGACCTTTCGCAGGAGTGACCGTTGGCGCGGGCCCAAGGGAGCCCCCCGATCGCCGAACGCGATGCGATCGTGTCTTGCGCGCCTGGGTTTGGTCCCCCTGCGGCCCCCAACAGGCCGCGCAACAAAGGCCACTCCTGCCTGGGAGCACTCTCAAGTGCGTGTGGCCGATTCTCATCCGCCGCCTTCTGAGTCGGCGTGCCCGCCCCTCCCACCTCCCCCCCCCAGGCGCGCCGCCGAGAGTGAGCTCGTGCTGCCCGCGGGGGCGGGGGCCTCTCAGCCCCCGCGCGCGCTGCCGCGCGAGCTGGAGGAGGAGCTGCGGCCCTGGCGAGACGCCGTGGGGCAGCTGCTGCAGGAGGCGTGCAGCCGCGCGGGGCGGTGCGTCGTGGTGACCAACTCGCGACGGCCCTGGGTCGACCTGTGCCTCAGCTCGGCGGCGCGCCGAGGGGGGGTGTTGCTAGAGGTGCCCCTGGCCCAAGGTGCCCCAGGATTTTCAAGGAGGCCACTACGGCCTCCAGAGGGCGCCTTTAGCAACCCCCGAGAGGGGGGGGGGGGGGGCGAGAGGGGGGGGGGCTCCTCGCAGGGCGGCGGGGCTGCCACAAATAGCCCCCCCCGGGCCTTCCGAGAAGCTCTGCTGCGGCCTCGGAGAGGCGGCCCGCCGAGCTGCTTCGAAGGCCAGAAGTCCTCCGAGCCCTCCGGGGGGGGGCCGCCCCCTCTGCCGCCCTCTCCTCCTCCTCCTCCTCCTCCTCCTCCTCCTCCTCACTCCTCCTCCTCCTCGTCCTCCTCCTCCTCCTCCTCCTCCTCCTCCTCCTCCAACTCCTCCTCCCTCCCCTCCTCCTCCCTCCTCCCCTCCTCCTCCTCCTCCTCCTCCTCCTCTCCTCCTCCTCCTCCTCCTCCTCCTCCTCCTCCTCCTCCTCCTCCTCCTCCTCCCCCCCGGGCGCGCCGCCGATGAGCACGTTCGCTGGGGACCTGCGCCACAGGTTCGGCAGCCTGGGCGTGAGGGTCCTGTACGCGGGGGAGCACGTCCGCGGAGGCTCCCAGGCGCTGGCCGGCGCCGGGGGCTGCTGCGCCGGGTGCGCCCCGCTGGCGCGCGGCCTCTGCAGTTTGTTGCTGAGCGAGGGCGAGGACGACGACTGCGCGGCCCGCGCGGCTCGCTGCACCGACGCGAAGCGCGCCGCGATGAGGGCGGCCGCCAGAGAGTTCTATCCGCAGGAGGGGGAGAAGACAGCGCGAACACGTCGGTGCTGGGCGCCCCGCGCGGGCGACTCGGATCGGCCCTGGGCCCCCCCCGGCGGCGCCTCCCGCGCCCCCCCTCCCCGGGCGCGTGGCGCGCGCAGGGGGGCGGCTGTCCAGCGGCGATCCCAGAAGCCCGCGCGGGCGCCCGAGGGCTTAGGTTTGTGCAGTCGTCCTTCCTCCGTCTATGCGAGCTACGAGGGCCAGACCTGGAAGAACATCTTGAGCTTCGGGGACATTCGGAGGAGGGCGGGATGAGACACCAGGAGTTGGCCTCCGGGGGGCCTCCCTCGCTGCCGCGGCTGGACGCAGCTGCAGACAGCTGGCACGTCTGGCAGGGGCGCGGGGGCCGATCTTGGGCTGTCCTTGGCTCAACTCGGGGAAGCGTAAGACTCGAGTACGCCGGAACTCGACTCCTAATGACGAGCGCGCCACGGATTCTGACGGTCCAGTTTCCGTGGGATGTCTGTAGCGGGAGATCGCGGCAGAATTCCGACCGGTTTTCGTCATTCCCGTGATGGCCCCGTCGGGCCAGCCCGAGTCCCCAGAACCTGAGTCTTGCGTTAAGTCGGGCTTGTCCCTCTACAGGAGGAACGTTCAAAAATTAAAACAAATAATCTGGGGACGAGTTTTTGATTTTTTGTGGACCATTTTGGAGTGTTTGGGGGGTATTTTTGCTTTTTCCGTCAAAATCCTCCTGTGGGGGGACACGCCCGACCTAAGCCTTGCGTCTCCCCGATCGATTTCGCTCTGCTCCGAGACGTGCCCTACGAGCACGAGGCCCTGGACGTCCTGCGCCGCGACAGGTGGCGGTCCCGCGACCGGCCCGCCCGGGAGAGGCTGCGGGTGAAGACGGTGCTGCTCCCCGAGGCGCCCTCCATTGCTGGCCTGACGAGGACGCCGTGGAGGGCTTCTCCGAAGGGCCTGGGCGACCCGTCCTCCTCCCCTCTCCTCTCTCCTGCTCCTGCTCCTCCTCCTCCTCCTCCTCCTCCTCCTCCTCTCTCCCCCTCCCCCTCCTCCTCCTCCTCCTCCTCCTCCTCCTCCTCCTCCCTCCTCCTCCTCCTCCTCCTCCTCTCCTCCTCCTCCTCCTCCCCCTCGTCCTCCTTTCTCCTCCTTCCTCCTCCTCCTCCTCCTCCTACTCCTCCTCCTCCTCCCTCCTCCTCCTCCTCCTCCTCCTCCTCCTCCTCCTCCTCCTCCTCCTCCTCCTCGTCCTCCTCCTCCTCCCCCTCCTTGCCTTCCCCTCCTCGGGTTGCATACGGCCCCGGGGGAAACCGTCCAGGACGCTGCAGCTGCTGCGGAGGCACTTGCCCGAGCTAGTGGCCATGGACGGCAGCACCCACAGGTCATCGAGAATAGGAGGACCCCTACCCCCAATAGCACAGTGAAGGCGCGACCTCACTGAGTGACACGTCTGCAGAAACGACCTTCCTGTTCCTAATTTTTTCGGCCCTCCTAAGTTTGGTCTTCCCCCAAAGGGTTAGGGGTCCTTCTTTGGTTCATCAACAGGGACCTGCAGTCCATGCAGTCTCTCCTCGAGACCGGTCGTCCAGGCGATGAGGCTTTGGGCCCTGGCTAGAATGGCACGTCTGCCTCGGGCGCGTGCACTTCGCCGGCGCGCACCCCGCACGGCACACGAACTCCGGGCCTCCCAGCTCGGATTGAAGCAGCGGGGTGTCGGGGGGTCGCGCCGCGCCGCCCACGCATTCCGAGCATTTTCTTTGGGTGGAGGGCCAAGGGTGAAGTCCAGAATGCCGTGTCGATGGATGTTCGAGGCTCGAATCTGCGAGAGGCGAATCACAAGACGGATTGATTTTCGAGGTGCAGAAGTCCATGCGGATTTCACCCTGAGCCCTCCGCCCTAAGAACATGCTCAGGCATTACCGATGCGGCTCGATGAGGAGACCCACCGTCCAGGCGACGAGAGCCCGGGCGAGAGCTCGAGCGCCCCCGCGTGCGGTCGGGGAGTTTTGTGCCCCGCGTGCCGCGCCGCCGGGCGACCAGACCGCCGCGTGGTCGGCGCACCGCGCCGAAGCGTGGTCATTGCCGCCCTGCGGCGCGACACGCTGGCCAGCATCCCACTCCCCCTCCTCCTCCTCCCTCCTCTCTCCTCCTCCTCCTCCTCCTCCCTCCCTCCCTCCCTCCCTCCCTCCCTCCCTCCCCTCCCTCCTCCCTCCCTCCCTCCCTCCCTCCCTCCCTCCCTCCCTCCCTCCCTCCCTCCCTCCTCTCCTCCCTCCTCCTCCTCCACCTCCTCCTCCTCCTCCTCCTCCTCCCCTCCTCCTCCTCTCCTCCTCCTCCTCCTCCCTCCTCCTCCTCCTCCTCCTCGTCCTCCTCCTCCTCCCCCTCCCTCCCTCCTCCCATCCTCCCTCCCTCCTCCCTCCCTCCCTCCCTCCTCCTCCTCTCCCTTCCCTCCCTCCTCCTTCTCCCTCCTCTCTCCTCCTCTCCTCCTCCTCCTTCCTCCTCTCCTCCTCCTCCTTCCCTCCCCTCCCCCTCCTCCTCCTCTCTCCTCCTCCTCCTCCTCTTCCTCCTCCCTCTTCCTCCCCTCCCTCCTCTTCCTCCTCCTCTCCTTCTCTCTCCTCCTCCTCCTCCTCCTCCTCCTCCTCCTCCTCCTCCTCCTCCTCCTCCTCCTCCTGCCCTCCCCTCCTCGGGCTGCCTCCCCGAGCATGCAGCGCCCCGAGCTCGCCCCTGCCTGCCGGTCCCGTTGGGCTCGGGAGCGGCCCAGGGGGGTGTGGGGGGGTGATTGGAGGACGAGGAGGAGGAGGACGAGGAGGAGGAGGAGGAGGAGGAGGAGGAGGAGGACGAGGAGGAGGAGGACGAGGAGGAGGAGGAGGAGGAGGACGAGGAGGAGGAGGAGGAGGAGGAGGGAGGAGGGAGGGGGAGAGGAGGAGGGAGCAGGAGGAGGAGAAGGGAGGAGGAGAAGGGAGGAGGAGGAGGAGCGGTCCAGTGCCAGGACGTCTCCCCAGGTGTTCGGGCAGGGGCTCGACTGCAGAAATGATCTTCGCCCACGCCGGAAGGTTCGTCGGATCTGAAACGAGTGCGCGGAGCCTTCGTGGATCTGCCGAGCATGTTGCGCATGCTCTTCTGGACTCGACGGGCGAACCAAGCTTTGGGTACACCGATTCTGCCGTCGGCCCCCGAATCGAAGACTTCATGGCCCCGAGCCTTCCTTCACGACACCTCCCGTGGCCCCCCATCGTCCGCGCAGTCGCCTCCAGCTGTGATCCGCGGGCCCCCCTCGTGGACGCCGCCCTCTCCGGACGCCCCCGCGAAGCGGCGCGCCGCGCTGCCCGCTCGCGGGGCAGCGCGGGCCGCCGCGTGCCGCCGCCGCGCCGCGCCGCGCAGCGAGTCTCCGGCCGCGGGCGGCGTCTGGCCAGCGAGCGCCGAGGGCGCCCGCCGCTCCCCGGGCGCGGCCTCGCGCTCGGCAGGAGGAGGAGGAGGAGGAGGGGGCGCGCGGACCGCACGCCACCAGCAAGAGGCAAGCCTCGAGCTGGTGGTCCGGTACACTCAACACCCAGCACACGCCAGGGCGTGGGCCGAGCGGGAGGGCCGCCCCGCCTGCCTGGCCACGTCGCGCGCCATCCTCCCCAGCGCCGAGAGCACCAGGAAGAGGCACACGTATGCGGCGGGGGAGGGGGAGACGACGGGCGACAGACTACAAGGGCGGCCCAAGAAAAACAAAACGAGTTTAATCAGACCCTGAACTCGCTCCATCGGGAACGGGTTCGGGAACACTGGCGGCCGCTTCCAGCGGCCTCGATTCATCAGCACAGCGGAGCTCCGCACGGTCATCGCCGCGCTCGGTGGCCCCATCTATCTTCACGCCCGTTCTGGGGTGACACCCGCGCTCCAGCCGTCTAATCGACATTCTCTGGTTGGCGGCAGTACTCGGAACCTTGGACCTCCCTTTACATTGCTGCGTGAGGTTTCGCAGCGAGCCAAGAGATCCGTGAGCCCCGCACAACTTACAACAATAAACATGCAGATGACGGAAAACGTCGTGCCCAAGGTCCCGAAACACAGAAAACTCGTCCGATGGCTCAGGGACAGCCACAGGAGTCGGGGGACCTTGGACTTCATCAATGCACGCCCGCTGAGCTTCATCAGCGGCAGCCAGAGCAACCCTCACTGCTTCCAGCTGCACGGGCCTAAAAGCCGCCCCAAAATCGCGAAACCACTGGTCGCACACGTGTCGCTGGATCGAGGACGGAGAACAATCACGATAGTCTCTGCTCGTGAGCAGGCTCTTAAGCGACTCTAGAGTGCGAGCCACTCGGCCACAGCTCCTGCACTTGTAAGTGCTGGTGGCCTCGCAGCGAAATAACACATGGCTAGTGACCGTGACCTTGGGAGGGGCAGGGGCACTCAGGAGGCGGAGGGGGCGATCAGGGTCAACTTGTGTCCATGTGCCTGACTCGAGCAGACGTTGAGCAGCCCATGCAAGGAACCGCACCGTGGACTTGTGATATTTTAATTGACCTGAAACCGCCGCGCAGAAACCTTCGGCCAGCGTGTGAGAGCTAGCCCCTAGTTTGGCGAAAAAATCAGCCCACAGGTTCCCAGCCCAACTTTTGATACACAGCCCACGCTCCAAAACGTCGTCAAAACTCAGATGGGCAGGGAACCACGAGAACTGGGGGTGATTAGACTTCAAGTCGAATATGGACCTCCAGATCGATGCATGCTTGGACATGCCTTGGGAAAGATGCAGGCTCCAAGAGTTGCCTTCACGCACTACAGCCTGGAGGTCCGAAACGATACTCTGATGCTGTGGGTGAAAGGCCAGACCCTGCCGCACTGCCCAACGTTCAGCGCGTCCTATGGTCTGACGCTCACCTGGAAGCGCTCCATATACAGCCCTCAAGGGAAGCAGGCAATCAAACAACTGCACCACACTCCAACCCGCTCTGGAGACCTCTGGGACCCCAGAGTGAAAACAGCTGCCGTCAGTGAAAGCCTGTGGGCCCCAGGGCCCAGAGACGTCCCCAAACTCAAAAATAGGCGGGTTGGCAAGCGGAGCGGGAATATTAGTGGGTAGAGGAGGGATGCCATAAGTTAAATAATTAGAATGTACATCGGGCTCCCCAGTAATAGAGGCCCGAGACTCAATCAGAACGCGCCTATGCTTAGCTAGGGCCTCAGGAACCTCGTCACCCAACGCGTCAACCCCGTCGTCGGTGATGAACTTAGAGCAGGCATACCACACATGTCCGTACGTACCTTGAGGAGCGGAGCAGGCAAGGCACACGGGTGGTACATCATATTGTAGAGCAGAAAGTGCAGCAGGTAGCGGAACCACATTCCCCCAGACGGCCGCCAGGGCCCCAAGAGCCCGCTGGTCTTTTACAGCACGTATGCCATTACGTAGCGCACGAAACCAAGGCTCCCCTTCTGGAGGGTCAGTGTTGTATAGATGCTGCTGCAACCGACGTACCTGCCACCGCTGCACACCTTCAATAATCGCAATACGCACATCACTAGGACACACCACCAGCAGCGAAATATCTGTACCAAGATCGCTGCGAAAGGTGTGGGCATTGACCATCGTCCAGCCGATGCGAAGCAGGCTAAGCCACACCGCCGACAGCGGACCTCGAGCCTGCTGCCAGGTGGGGTTGTCGGACATGATGTCTCTCAGACGGGTCCAAGCACGTTGAAGTCTCGATAACTGAATCCTTTCGTCCCAGACGAACGTGGCGAACTTAACACACACACAAGTAGTGGAGTCGTAGATCGGGTCGTATTGCGGATCGGCCTGCGTCCGCAGATACGAAGTAATGCCACCGTGCTGCTTGGCCCCTGCGATCGTAGCCGCAAGCTGCCTCAAATACTTCAGCGCAGTGTCAGAGATGCCTGACACGGAGCCACCGTGTCCAGCTGCTGGGAGAGCTCCAGTCCTCCACAGTCGGGTTGCACGCTTGCCAGTTGCATGTTTCAGCGCAACGAACTTGTCACGACGACGCCTGAGAGCCAGTAACCTTTTCTTCTCCTGCGTGCGAACAACCCGACCAGCAGCTAATTCATGCCCGAGATTTCTCATCCATCTACGCACAGGTAGATGCAGCCGAATAGCCATCTTCGAAAAAAACCTTCCGAGCCACTTTGTTCCCAGCAATGAGCCCCGACTTCTTGACATGGGAGTGGGGCCCGAGGACCTTGGCATCTTCAGTGAACACTTTCACAGCACGCTCCAGGAAACGCACGTCCCGAGGATCCGAAGTAACGAGCTGAATCGAGATGTCGTCGACTAGGGCTCTCGGTGTTATACAGGGCGAAATGTCATTGAGCCTACGCACCGCGCGCAGCGTGAGGAGGAAAAGCATGCCTGTCGCATGATTGCACTCAGCAAGGATGCCTTGATGCGAGCAGAACTGCACAGACAGACTGCCGAAAGCTCGAAGACGTCGTGGCTGCCTGTACAGATCCACCAACATCCAAGCTAGCCGCATTGGAAAGTGCAAAGCTTCAGCTTCTTTTAGTAGCTGCTCCGAGTGTACCATCTCGAAGCATTTGATCATATCTAGAAGGACAGAAACGGAGATATCACCGACTAGCGCCGCCATCTCGGCAGCAATGTTGTGA